ACTATATATTAGCATCGAACTAATACAATCTAAACTTAAATATAAAAATTCAATAGAAATAAATCTGATACTTAAATCGATATAAATCTAAATCGTACTTCCATCATAACTTTCAAACTTCTCAAAATACTTATTCGATCCTATAAATATTTATTTTCACTATCAACCCTTCAATTGTTGCCAAATACACAATCAAACCACTAATTATGAATTCTTTCTAAAATTCACCTTAACTTTTCTATTAACTTCATAATGATCCTTCACCATTATGATTATTTCACATTAATAACATAAAATTTCCAGAACCTCCATAAAGTATTCAAATCAATACTTAAACATTCAAAAGCTTACAAATTCATCCTATACTTTCTTAAACTTTGTCAATTCAACTTCCAATCTCTGTAAACTTGTAACTTTGATTCAAACTTAATAATTGAACAAAAATTTCAGCAAGCTTCCAGAATTTGCAGAATTGTCCTAATTTTCCCAAATGATACTTCTACATTTATTAACTTACAAACAAGTCTCCATTTCTTAGGACCTTTCGAATTCCAACCCAAACTCTTACCAAATTTTCAATTTGGTTCCAAATAACTTTCCAACTTAATTTTCCAGCATCTAAATACTAAATATTATCATTGAATACTCCAAATCTCCCATTTATACAATAATGTCCCAAAATCCTCAAAACTTGTAAACTAGCCCTTTTTCACTTTCAAGGTTCCAAATTGATCCAATTTGATCTCCAGGTCACTTATAACACTTCTAATATCAATTCTAAACCATAGGGAAATTTTTTTAATATGTTTCACTAATTTTCCAAAATTAGCCGAATATCACTAAGTACTTAGGGTGAACTTTTTCATTCAATTTCAAGCATGAATTCAACTTCCTTATATTAAATTCATGTTATTCTAACCATAACAACATAAAATTACATCAAGATCCAAACATTTCCAAAAACACTAATTAGGCCAAAACATGTACACATCAAATTAATCATCATACATGCTTTAGAATTAATCTCCAACATCAAAAACATAAAAATTTGTCATAATTCTTCAATCTCCATAAACCCTACATAAACCCTAACTTTAAATATCAACATATAAGCATCTTCACGATGAAATATTTATACCAAATGATAGAGAATTTCATGTAAATTAATTCTCTATCTAATAACTTCACCCAAAAATCAAGTATATAGCTTCAAAAATTAAAAAAAAACAACAACAAAATTTACCTTTTTGGCTATGGTGTATTCGGTCCTAAGCTTGAAGATGGCTGAAAATGTGGCTATTTTCTTGATTATTCTTGTATTTATCAACTAATACTCTTGGCTTAATAATATAAAATTCAAAAATCCCAAAAATACCATTAATGAAACTTGATAATTACCAAGTGCCATTACATTATCTCCCATTAAAATATTCCTTGGTCAAGGATGAATTAACTTGGCTTTGAATTTCTAATTTAGTCATGAAATTTTCAAAAATTCCATTTTAGTCACTAAAATTCCACTATTCGGTCAAATCTGAAAAATTACATTGTTCTGAGCCAAATTTCTCTGATATAAAATATGAAAATAATATTTCCAAACATATTCTAACATCATTCAATTTTTTGTAAAATTTCGGTTCGATCCAATTATCCGATTTAAATACCGAACTTTATCACTTTATAGTTTTAACACAAATCCCGTACCGAAAATCTGATTCCCACAAAAATCCTCGTTTTAAGCCAAATTGTTCATTTACGAGCTAAAATCTATAAATTTTCAAAATCACATTTTCGGTCCCTAAATTTTTCAAACTTTATACTTTAACCACTAAACTTTCAAAATTTTCATTTTAGTCACTAGTCAAAATGTGAGGTATTACATATATGTTGAAAAATTAACATCAATAACATAAATACCTGAAACAAATGTTCCATTTGCTTTTGCCTTCTTGACCTCTTGAAGGTAAACAGGGCAGTTTCTCTTCTAGTGTTTGGGATAACAATAGAAATATTTTCCTTCCTTTCTAACTCCCTCTTTGGGTTTCAATGCATCTTCTCCTTTCGGCTTAGACCTACCATTGTCCTTAGACTTTTCCGATACCTTTTTCTTTCCCTTTCCTTTGTCCTTGTAGACCATCAAAATGGGCTTAGGTCCAACCTTTTTCATGTTACTTTCAGCAGTTCGTAACATGCCAAGTAACTGTGGCAAAGTCTTGTTAATTTCATTCATGTTGAAATTAAGGACAAATTGACTAAATCTAACTGGAAACGATTTCTGGATAACATCGGTAGCCAATTCATCTTTGAGAGGAAATCCCAACTTTTTCAACATTTGGATGTAGCCCATCATCTTGATGATATGAGCTTCTGCAGGAGATCCCTATGCCATTTTGCATTGAAATAGAGCTTTAGAGGTCTCATACCTCTCTTGATGTTCTTTCCCTTCATATATTTCCTTGAGAATTTGAATCATCTCATATGCGACCATGTCCTCATGTTGCTTCTGAAGCTTAGGAGTCATGGTGGCAAGCATAAGACATCCAACGTCTAAAATATCATCCATATGTTTCTTAAATTTGTTTTTGTCTGCTCTAGAAGCATTAGCTGCCAGTTCATCGGGAACAGGTTCTTCAATAACATATTCCTTCCTTTCCTGTTTGAGAACAATTATCAAATTACGAAACCAGTCAAGAAAGTTTATGCCATTAAGCTTCTCCTTCTCAAGGAGTGATCGCAGTGATAAAGTGTTGTTTGCCATTAAATCTACAACAATGGAAATATTAAAGTAAGTAAATTTAACTAATTAAAATTTATAAATAGGTCTTTATTTACAAATTACTCCCACTATTTTATTCAAAATTAAAAAAACCTTTTGTTTTAATTTCGAAAAAATTCAACGCAATTTTTTCTAGTGGATGAGGATCCATAATTCATAAATTTCCGAAATCAACTTTGGCTTTTCTTTTAGGATAATGATTATTTAGGTAAGTAACACTTTACTAGTTACATCTTATGTTACTCCTCCTTTTGGTGAACAACTTGTTTAAATCATCTCACAACTTATTCAAATACTTGACCTCTAGGTTTCTAATCCTATTAGAATAATCTAGCTAAGTTATTACCAATATCTCAACCGGTGAATATCACTTGCTTATTCTTCGCGTTTAACCAAGATAGATTTATGTTTCAATGCTTTGGAAAAGCCCACACAATATTGATCGAAGCCTTAACGATGGTAAATATTGGACTGTTAAGTTAACTTAGATTATAAAGAGGGATTTGTGTAAATATCTCATCATTGTTTGTTTTAATATTAGGCCCTTATTAATCTCATTAATATTCATTCTTATTTTAGCATTTGTTGCATTACAAACATAACATATATAAGCAATAAATAAGATGCAATGGTTATAGCCCAAAAACAATAACTTAGGTGGCCCATCCCAAGCCAACCCTAAAACCTAAGACTGCTCTATAGGTATCATCTCGCCTTTAACTCAGTCTGTTCTTCTGCTCCTTTTGAATCTTAATAGGATTACCATTTAAAAGAAGCTCATTTTACATACGAGGGAATAAGATGAGAAGAGAAATACAACTGAAATATAGAAAGGCACGACACGCAGGCCGTATTTTAAAATTCAACCATTATAAATTGAAAAGGGCTATAACCATGCATGTCAAACACCGTGCAAACAAACACATCATATATATATACACGTTTGTTACGCCTTTGTTAAAATACTAATATGGGCCTACAATCTATATTGATCATGAAGGGTCAATGGGCGAAGCCCCTTGCGGGGTCTATAGAAAAACCATTGTTTGAAAAATAATCCCGAAGGTTTTTCTACATCGGAACAACCATTGTTCCACTGCAAAACGCGATCTGCTATCGCATACCCAGTGATCATCATGTCAACGATTGACATATAAATTTCGGAAAATCCTTGCAGTAACATACAAATTGTAAAAATAGATTAATAGATTAACATATTAATCGTAACTTTAATCGACCATTGATTTCACATAAATATCAAATAATGGTCGAAAACATTAAAACCAAAACTCGCATCTCATATATATCGTATCAACCAAGAATTTTAACTTGAATCCGGATGTACAAGTGGCTCTGATACCACTATTGGGACCGTCGGCGCCATGACGCAGCAGAAACAAAACTCAACGGTCTCACCAACGATCCAAGTACGAAAAATCGAAATCGGCTGGAAATGATGCGAATACTTATAATGGGTTCCTTGAAAAAAAACAAAGACAACAACGACTACTGGTGATTACGAACGGTTCGAATCGTAAGTCTCCACGAAAATAAGTCTCGGCCTCTACTCAATTCACCTGATTGAGAGCAAAATTTACTTTTCCCAAAAATGATTTTGAGAAAACAACTAAAGATTAAACGGCTGCTAGACCTTACACCACTTTAAATATTCGAGTTACCCTAACATATTAGGGATTTTTTTGTTATTTTAAATTAATTAAATTCTTATTTAATTAATTCAAATTAAATATCCATTAAAGACTTATAATCTTAATTACACTATTTAACGTTTATTTAAACTCTTATTTAATTATTTTAAATTAAATATTCATTAAAAGAGTTGTAATCAGAATTACATTCTTTTAATGTTTACTTTCTATATTCGAGATAATTAAAATCATATGTATATCAAATATACATATATTAACTCTAGATATATTTTAGAAACGTACAACAAATTGTACATCTTTGCCCAAAGATCAATGCATTTATTCAATAAAATCGGTAAATAATATGTATTATTACAATCATCATATGATTGATCTTTGGGCATATTCTAACAGATACAACTAAACATCATGTATTAAGTACATTCTCATGCAACAAATCAGAATCCTAAGATACTTGGATTAAGAATTGAAAGCATTTAATCTAGTTAAGAGCTAACCTCATCAAAACGACCATGCTTCTATTACATGGAATGATATCCTTTCCCATATAGCATTTAGCCATAGTAATTAGAACTTCTATCAAGACCAGAAAATTTCCTAACAAAGGCAGAAAACAATGCTTCTTCATATAGATATTCACCATCACCAGAAGGATTGATGGCCTCCATTTCGGCATCTGCTCTGTCTTGAAGCTCCAAGGCAAGCTCTAGTGTGACCTCCACCTCGCCCATCATTGGCCTTTCATTTTCCCTACGGTGGACACAACTAGAAGCGATTTCGTAATACTTGTTCAAACATTCCGGAGCTATCCTTCCCTTGAGGTATGGATCAATGGCATGATAAATGGTTCCTACCCTTAGGCGTTCCTTGGCCCAATCAAGTATGTAACTTTGATTCTTCGGTAAGCTGCTATCAATCGCTACTCTGCCAAAAAGAACTTCGAACAAAATGACCCCAAACGAGAAGACATCCGATTTTACTGTTAGTTCCCCATACATGGCATACTCTGGAGCCATATATCCAAAAGTTCCCACCACGCGTGAATCTGTTCCTATCAAGGCTTTCGACATGCTACGAGTATGAGGACCAAGTTTGGACAAGTCAAAATCAGAAAGTTTAGAAGACCATTGCTCATCTATAAGTATGTTTGAGGTCTTGATGTCACGGTGGATTACAGAACGCTTGGCCCCTGCGTGAAGGTAATGTAATCCACGTGCTGCACCGATACACATCTGCAGCCTGTGTTTCCAAGATAGTGGTTCAAAATCCTTCCCGCCCCCATAGAGAAAATCAGCGAGTGACCCTCTGCTCGTGTATTCTAACACCAGAAGAATCTTCTTTTCCAGGAGGCAGAAACCGATGAGAGAGACGAGATGTGGGTGACGCAACTGGCAAAGCATATCTACCTCATTTGATTTTGAACTGTTATAGCTGCATCTGATAGCAACAACGGTTCCATCATCGATGGTCCCTTTATAAACAGCACTCCAGGAATGAATATTATGAATGATGGAGTCTGGGTGGAAGTTGTTAGTAGCGGCTTTGAGCTCTGCTAGTGAAAATCGACGGCATATCCCATCCGGAAGTTCTGAACCATATTCCAATTGAGGGGATTTTTTCTTGGTAGCAAACAAATTTAGAAGAGAACACAAAGGAGACTTCATTGGATTATGTTTAACCAATATGCTTGAGAGATGATATATGGTGAAGTTAAATGTGTGTCAATACCACTGGTTTTTCAGTGCGAGTTGAATATTCAAAGTCATCGAAAATTTAATTCAGAACAAATGTGACGGTCCTTTATGTTTTATGGTTGGTTGTCTCGTGACATTTATACGTTTGTAAAGTATACAAATAGTCTCTGAACTTTTAGGGTGTTTGCATTTTGGCCACGTAACTTCTAAAACTTGCAATATAGTCATTAAACTTTTAGTTCATTTTCAGTAAAATTCCCGCCGTTACCTTTTGTTAGTTAGGGCTGAAGTGACACGTTACCTCAGTTAATTCTTCTTCTTCCTCTTCTTCTTCATAGAATGCAACAGTCGTTGTTGAATTTTCAACTTTCTCTTTAATCTTCAACTCCTTTTTCTCCCTAGTCGTGTATTCTTAAATCTTTCCTGCCATTCTTGCCTAATCCCCAAATTTGCAGGTATCCACTTTGAACGCTTTAACTCATGAATACTCTGCTTCACGCCGCAGAGATGTTCATGCTAAAACAAGTAAATTTGTGTCGAAGAAGAATTTATTATTTTACATGAATTATCAGGGAAACAAAGAGTGCAAATAAAACTCAACAAAATTCACCATATTAAGTACTCGGCAGAATGTTGAAGCCTAGTTTGGTAGCTGGAAAAGTGAAGGGAAACTAAATAGCATATAAATTGCAAATTCTCCACTTCAATTCCGAGCAAACTAATTAAACTCTTCGAGTTTATTACTCAAATAAGTCAAACATACCTCTAAACTTTACTTCATTTTCTCAGCAGCCAAAAAAGTTCCAAGAATCCTCTACAGATGGTAATAACAATAACGAAACTAAAGCAGCCTAATCCTACATTTCAGCTTATAAAGAAAGCCACATTTCAGTTTCAAAGTTCAACAAAAATTTACCTTAGACTCCTTCTCTCGTCGGAGATTCATTTTTGAATTCATTCGGATATTTGCAACCAATATTGAGATTTTGAAATTTACCGGATTTCAAATCAGTGAGATCTCTCGGCTTTGGCAGCTGTGGAGTAGAGAGTGATTCTTGCTCTTGAGACAAACGACGCAGTTTCCATATCGTGCACAAGTTAAGATTAGGAGCAGTAAAAGAAAGAAGAGCGAAATATGGAGATAATTTGTTAAAATGGAAATGGATCAAAACGGTGGTTTACTTTGTGTGTGTATATATATATATATATATATATATATTCGGCTGTAATGAGAGTCCTGATTAACAGAAGAAGAAGAGGAAGAGTTAACGGAGTTAACGGCTATATATCCACCAACTTTGTTATTATTTTATTAAATTTTGATCATTAGAGTACAAAACATGAAAAAACTCTAGCTCACTATATCTCAGAAAAATTTTTGCTTTCTTTTTTATTTCTTTAGTTTTTTTTAATAAGAATCATTTATGACATGTTTTTTCTTGCCTTTTGTTAGACAAAATTTAATTCGAGATAAAATAATAATAATAATAATAAACATATATTATTATTGAATCGAATGAAGCATAATAAATGAAGAATTAAAGTAAAGAAATGGAAATGTTTACTCGTATTTTGACATGAAATTAGTTGAGCAGAGTCAGATAAACAAAAGAGGAAGTTTTGTTGAGGCATGCATGAACAGTTTCCTTAATATAGATTCATCATCTCCTCAGTGTTTTGAGTAACGTTGGACGTCGGTCTCCTATGATATAACAATAAATGATCACAATAGTAAGAACAACCATAGTGATCAAGCGAACGCTATCTTGTCTTTCTCTATCACCGGAAAGAATGGATTTGGAAGAATTTTCTAAGTGTTTTTCTATTCCAAAGTTCTAAACATGCATGTTATAACTTGCGTCTCTAAGATTTATGTCTTAACTATTCTATTTATAGAGGAGAGAAAAGGTAAACTATACAGTTGACCACTTAACTATTTAGCTCTTTTACTTTTGTCATCGATCTTTTAATTTTGTCAATCACACCACCTAATTATTTAATTTGTTCAATTAGATCACTAGCCGTTAATATTTGACGAAAATGTTGATGTGGTAGTTAGAAGAATTGGTATGTTTATACATTTAGTGAATTAGTATGTTTATACATTTAGTCCTTAATATTTATATATTATCTCAATTTAGTCCTAATTTAAATTTAATTTAATAAATTAACAATTCAATCCGGATTTAACACGTGTTAGCATATGATCATGACACATGTCAATACATGATTGAAGGATTTTATTTTATTTATTTTATTTAATTAAATATTTTCTATCCAATCATAAGATGACACGTGTCACCACCCAATTGGATGGAGAATAAAATAACATGAAATTGCACCTAAGGGTAATCGAACTAGTATCCATAAGGGAATGGAAAGTGACCCAACCACTACACCAAAGGTACCCAATTTTTTAAATTTACAACAAATTTTATTTATCCTTTAAAAGCTTGTTTATGGTAAAAGAAAGTAAAAGTAAAAAGAAATTAGAATTAGAACTTAGACAAATTATAAAATAAAAGATTTTAATAAATTGTTGATTATAAAAGATAATTTCAATGCTTTAAATCAAAATTATTAAAAATTAAAAGCTTTAAATAAAAAAATTATATTCTCGATTTAAAATAATCGTGATTTATCTTTTATTTTTTAATAATTTTGGTTTAAAATTTTTAAATTATTTTTTATTATCAACAGTTTTTTAAAAGCTTTTATTTTATAATTTCTGTGGGTTCTAATTCTAATTTCTTTTTACTTCTACTTTATTTTACCATTAACAGGTTTTTAAAGGATAAATAAAAAATTGTTGTAAATTTACCATTTGGTACCTTTGGTGCAATGGTTAGGGGCAGACACCATTTCCCTAATGGACATTGGTTCGATTCCCCTTAGGTGCAATTTCATGTTCTTTTACTTTCTATCAATAAGGTGGTGACACGTGTTTTTCTCTTGATTGAATAAAAAAAATATTAAATTAAGGTGGTGACACTTGTTTTTCTCTTGATTGAATAGAAAAAATATTAAATTAAATTTAAATTATGACCAAATTGAGATAATATATAAATATTAAGTACTAAATGTATAAATATACTAGTTCTTCTAACTGTAACGTTAACATTTCAATCAATCAAATATTAACGGCTACTAGTCTAATTGAACAAATTAAATAGTTAAGTGGTGTGATTGACAAAATTAAAAGATTAATGACAAAAATAAAATGACTAAATAGTTAAGTGATTTACTGTATAGTTTACCCATGAGAGAAATAATTAAAAGGTTAGGACATTTCAATAAAAAATTAAGACCTTTTGATAAAAATATTTGTTAAAAAGCTAATAGTATAATTAAATAGATGTGACTTATTATAAAATAACATCAATTTTATTCAATTAAATTATTATTTTTCTAACATTTTTATGACACGATTTTCTTTATGACATGTTTTTTATCATTTGGATGTTGTCTTAGTTTTTCTTTTTGGGTAAACTACACGGGTGACCACTGATATTTTGATTGGATCAATCAGATCATCCAATTATTTAATAGTTTAATCAAGTCATTGCCCGTTAAGTTTTAACGGATGTGGTGATGTGTCAGTTAATAAAATTGGCATAGTTATATAGTTGACCCTTAATATTTACACATTCTATCAATTTAGTCACTATTTTAATTCAATTAAATAAAAATTTAACCCTTCAATCTGAAGGTGCCACATGTCACCACCTATGTAAAGGGAAAATATATTAGATGAGAAAGGAGCTTGAGGGGCTTCAAACTAGGGACCTCTTTAGTCCTTGGGCATGCCCTTGTCACTAGGCTAAACTATTTACTTGGTTTTAAATTGCACAATCTTTTACATATTGTGTTTGAGGTAATTTCACACATGCATATATATATATATATATATGCATGTGTCACCACCTGATTGGTCGGAAAAAATTCATTAAAATATTAAAATTAATTAAATTCACCCTCCAATCATATAGTGACACGTGGTACCTCCGGATTGGAGGGTTAAATTTATTTAATGAAATTAAAATAGTGACTAAATTGATAGAATGTGTAAAGATTAAGGACCAAATATATAATTATGCCAATTTTATTAATTGTCGTGTCACCACCTCCGTTAAAAATTAATGGTCAGTGGCTTGATTGAACCATTTAAATAGTTGGGTGGTCTGATTGATCGAATTGGAATGCCAATGGTCACAATGAAAAGAGGTTATAGTTTAGTGGTCACCCGTGTAGTTTACCCTATCTTTTTTCATAGAGTTAGATTTGACATCGCCACGATTGGAAAACATGACGCTAATATGTTATCATGATGGTCTTCTCTGCTCACCCGGATTTGATTTGGATATGCTATTTGTGTTTGTGGATGGTTTTTCACATCGCTTTACTTTGATTTGTGGAATGTTGGTGGTCTCTTTCAATAGTTTAATCCTCTTTTGTGATTCGTTTGTCGATGCGATCAGATTTGTTCATATATCTTTTATTCGAGTTTTTAATTAGGTTTTTAACATTTTCTATGGTTTTTGTGTGATCTTAAGTGATTAGTTTTTGTGTTAATAATTATAGGAAAATATATTAATCATGTGTTTATTTTACATCTATCGTTGTAAACCTTCATTTTAATTATGACTATTTTCTCTTTTTAATAAAATTAACGGTTTCTATTCAAAAAAAATTTAATTGAGTATTGAATGTCGTTAGTTTGATTATGTGATATGTTAGTAAAATGATTTAATTTTTATTTTAACCTTGAATTTTAGATAAAATGTTAATTATGGATTTTTTTACACCCAAAATAAGGATAAATTTTCAATTCATCTCCTTTTTGAATATGCTTTTCTTGAGAACAACACTCACCGGAGATGAGTAAACATGACTTTGTATCACAGTGTTACCTACCTTAAATCCAAGAACCACCGTGAAACAAACTCTAAAATCAACCTTTTCGTTGATGATAATTTCATCGCGAAAGAGTGGTTCTTCACTCACATTTTCCATATAAATGTCGGAGAATCTACAACCCTTCACCTAAAAGATTGCAACTTGTTCACTCATCGAAAACCCCAAGCAATGCAATAGCCAAAATCGACATCCAAACTCTCCACAAGCTGTGAAAAAAACCGTATCTGGAAAACCCACCATTGATAACAAAATGGAACTATAGAACGTAAACATCGATTATAGTTGAGTTGGGCTTGACACTTATCGCTCAAGCATTCATATCACTTAAATTCTGGATCGATGCCTTCTATAATGTCGTTTACTTAATTAACAAGTTACCAACCAAAGTGTCACATGGTTAGTCACCCTATAAGAAGATCTAAATCAAGATTTTTTTAAAACCGAAAGTATTTTCTACTAAATTTCTTGATCTCGAGCCATGTAATATTCAAGAAGTTATGAGTGAACACAAGAGGCGTGAAGCAGTAAATAAAGAACTTTCAGTTCTGGAACAGAAAGGTATTTGGGATTTAGTTTCTCTTCATACAAATGGATTTTTAAGATCAAGAGAAATTCTGATGGATGTACATTACGATTTGTCTCGTGGCAAAAAGGTATTCTCAGCAAGCTGATTCGATTACCATGAAACCTATAATCATGTAGGTAAAGCATTTGTGGTTCCAGTTTTCTAAGTATCGCTTTTGTTAAAATTTGGATCCTTTGACAAATCAATGTTCATAATGCATTTCTAAATGGGAATTTGATATAAGAAGTCTACATGAAACAACCACTAGTGTCTGAACAAACTGATTTGAATGGAAAGTAGTTGGTATGTCGATTACGTGAGTCTCTATATGATTTTAAACAAACACTAAGGGCCTGGTTCGATGAATTCAAAAAATGTCTTGTCGATCATTTCCATGCTTGTTTGTTCTTGGAAGCACAATCTTGTTCTGTTTCCTGTGACTGCCTGCATTCATTATCAGTATTGTTATGATTAATTGATCCGGGTATAATCAGTGATTTACAACACTCTCATCCCATAGATAAACATGACTGGGCTTCATTCTTCTTCATGAATTTAACTTCATTATCATTTCCTTTATGTTTTCTGCTGTAATTCCATGGGTCTGCAAACTCCTTGTGAAGTTGATCGAAATCAGTTCTTGCTACACTGAATCCAGTTCTGCTCTTTGAAATTCATTTTGCAAAAGAATAATAATAATAAATGAAAAAAAGAAACCAATAATTGAGATCCAATTAATCAAGTCAAGGGTCGTCGCTTTGCTGTTCTCACTAAAGAACTAAAAATGCAAGAGGGCAAGAAAGAGCAAGGCAAGAACATAAAAAAGTTAGAAAAGTCGATGGTTGTTCATTACCTCATTCCCCGGGATTGGATTTGATCAAGTTCTCATAAACAACATTGCAAAGAGCCTGTGATTTTCTTTCTTTCTTCAAGTTTCCAGTTAAACAAACAAAACTCAAGCCAATGGTTTATTGTTCACACTCTTTTCCATCTTTCTCTGAAGTTTTGAAGGGGATCAAATCCAAAATCAGACGAACAAAATCCAATACTCGTAACAGATCACTTCCAGATGAATTATGTCATCGAATTTCACTAGACAACATCAAAGCTGCTACCAACAAATTCAACAGAAACATGATTATAGCCAAAGGTGATACGGGTTTTATATATGGAGGGAAGATCAATGGTGGGTTCTATGCTATCAAATGCTTGATGCCGACCAGCGATTCACACCTACCGCTCGTGGAGTTGAGATGTGGGGCGGAAATTCTCTGCCACTTGGCGCCACCCGAATATTCTATCTCTCATTGGTCTCTGCGAGGAGAAAAAAGAGATGATCCATGTATATGAATATGTAAACAATGGGAGCCTTAATGATAATCTCGATTCTGAGAATTATGATCCCATCCCATGGAAGCGTAGACTGGACATATGCATCGGTGTAGCTCGAGCTTTGCATTGTCTTCATACGGGAGCAAAGTTTGTACTAATCCATCGTGAAGTCAGTAGCAAGAACATCCTTCTGGACGACTAATGGACTTCGAAACTCTGAAATTTCAGTTTCTGCAAGAGGGGGCCTCTTAGCATATCAAGTGATTCAGTTTCTGCTGAAGTAGACTCGGACATAATTGCATACTTGGCTCCGGAGGTAGCGATAACTAGCAGGGTATCGAAGAAATCTGATGTTTTCTCATTCGGGGTTGTTCTGTTTGAAGTTCTGTGTTGGAGACGCGTATTTGATGCAGAATTGCGGATGGATCAGCAATTTCTATATACATGGGCACGTAAATGCATTCAGAATGGAACAATTTACAGTATAATTGATCCGTATCTGAAGGCAAAGATAGCTTCACAGTGTTTGAAGAAATTCTTGGAGATTGCTTATAGTTGTGTCCAGTTTGAGGTAAGCAAAAGGCCTACCATGGGTGAGGTGGAGGCGACATTGGAGGTTGCGTTGGAGTTGCAGAAGAAGCATCATTTTTATGTACCATCTAACTGTTTGCTTTGATGATGGTAAATGCACAAAAATCATGAACTATTTCGTAGATGTGATTTCAGTTGTGTTCCTGGTTTTTAATCGTGGTGTATAAATGTTTTTGAAATATGAATATATCACATTGCCTACTAATGCGAACCAAAACAAAGTAACCCAAAATCAGGACTTAATTTAGGGATGTAAACAAGTTTAGTCGAGTTTGAGTATTATTGAGTTCGACTTGAATTTGGAATCAATAATTAAAGTTCGACTCGATAGTTCACGAGACTAAAATTTAAAAGTTCGATTTGAAATCAAAAATTAAAGTTTGAATCGAATTTGAAAAAACCGAAACTCTAAACATTCTTAGACTTGTTCGATTGAAGCTCAAACTCAAGCTCGACCTCGAGTTCAAATTTAAACTTTTTTTTATTAATATGGGGTAAGTATAAGGTAATATCTATTCAAAAAGTACTCTCAATCTTTCGACATTGAACATTAACCTTATATTTTATTTAAAAAAAAGTAAGATATAAATATTAGTGTTATTAATAATTTAATTTGAAAAAACTAAAAATTTAATGTATTATTTTTCGAATTACTCGTGAGATTTTCGAGTCGAGTATCAAACAGTTTGCTTCAGCGTTCGTTAAGAACTCTAGTAGAATCTATTCAATTCGAGTGTTGACCAATTTTTAATCTAGTCGAACTCAAATAACTCGTAATCTGACTTGTCTCATTTATAACCATAATTAAATTTCAATTGCAGATGCAATAGAATTACGACTAACATACTTATCAAATACTCAAAAAGAAAGAAACTATTTATCCTACAGTAATTTTATATAAAAAAAAACTGATAAATGATCAATTTTAAGAATTAAAAAGCAAAATTTAAAAAAAAAATCTTGAGACAATTATTTGATAAATTGGTTTCTTGTTGTAGAAAGGTCGTAGTTTAGATTGATTTTAGCACTTACAAAGTTCCAACCACCCCAATTATTAACATCGTTATTAAACGGACAAACCTGTTCAAAGCCATCAAGTTGCAATAAGCCAAAGGATTAAGCAATGATTCAATTTTGATACTGAGAATTGAAAAACACTTAATATCTTCGGATATCTTTCTCAATTTTCTGCAAACTTTGATTGACAATCGGCATTTCCTTTAAAAATCTCTATACTTTCAATTGAAAAAGAACTCATTGGTTTGAATGTTGTTTCGATTTAAGTTTGGAGGAAAGATCGGCTTGTAGCACATTCGACTTCTTATGAACACACTTAGCGACGGTTCGCTAAGGGAAATTGAGATCGGGTTCAATTCTCATTGAGAAAAATAACCCGAGTCGAACTTTTCAACGCTTAAACTGTATTGGTGCTAGCAACGATAGTCGTGGTTAGTCCAAATACGGACTAAATTCCAAAGATTGGCTCTGGATTGTTGGTTTATCGGAGAGAAAAGTAAGTTACAAGAGTTGAACCTTGTAGATTGTAACTGACATGTATCCAGAAGTAAAATCTTCTTCGATGATCAATTGAAATTGAGGCAAAGCGAGGCCTGATGTTGTTTTATTTAATTAAATTTCTTCTCAAAATTTACTTTCATTAATTTCTCCAGATTTATTTTCGCTTTTATTATTTTACCTTTATTTTCTACTTTACTTTCTTAATTAAAAACCTCATTTTCTCATTATTCTCACAAAAAGTCAAAATTAAAACCTTTCAACGTCAGAAGCTCCAAAGTCCCTGCAGATCGACCCTTTCTTCTCTATACTATGTTTCTAGCTTGTTTATTTGAGAAGAAAGTTTATTTATTTGACAATATACAACGCTTGTCAAATTGGCGTCGTTGCCAGGGACTTCGGCAAATTAACAATTAAAATTTGTTTTGTTTAATTACCAGGAGAAATCTCGGCGAACTAGTAGATTCTGATCCGGAGATCGAAGCACGAGCTTGCAGAATCCACGCACAAACACTTCGAGAAAAAAAACAATAGCGACAACAATAGGAACAATCGGATCCGAATCCAAAAGCACCCTCCAATGTCAATACACATTTCACGCCAGAAGAACCAGTTCTAATAGGTTATCAAACTATCCAAGAACTAGCTGCGACACCTGCCCTTCAACAACCATTATCCATTGATGAGCGATTTATTTTGTTACTATTTTACCATTAATTACTCTTGTTATCTCTTTGATATTACTGATTTGGGGTGTTTTGATTCGTTTTCTATGCAGGACTTTAATTTCCAAAATCAACATTAAATAAGCAAAGTTCTGCGGGGGGGTTTTTTATTCTGGAGTCGAGGCTTGAAAAAAGGGCATGACTTGGGTCATGACAATGCCTAACGTGGTAGATTCTAGCAGTTCAGTCAACAACAACTTCTAAAAAGCGATCCAGTTAGCATTCTAGAAGGATGGACGAATGACTTCATCACTTGTTTATTTTAGGATTATTATTTAAATATTTTTAGGAATTTATCCTTGGCTATTTTCATTTTATTTTTAGGGTTTTAGAAAGTTATAAATACACTCTCAGGGTAAAGCTTGAAACATACCTCGATTTAGTTTTGTTTTGTTATTTTTATTTTTTATAAAGTTTTTTTTCTTTTCTTCTCTTTCGTTTTACTTTAAAGTTTTTATTTTACTTTCTTTAAAAATGCTAAGTATGATTTCTATCATGCTTAACTAATTTTCCAATAAGCCAAAAGCTAAAACAATGACTTAATTTCAATCGTGAGAATTGAAAAGCACCTTATATCTTCTGATATAATTCTCAATTTTCTATAAACTTGGATTGACAATCGGTCTTTCCTTTAAAATCTCAGCACTTTTATTTCAAAAAGTCGATGTTGTTTTGGTTGTTGTTCCGGTATAAAGTTGGGAGGAAGGATCGGCTTATAGCACATTTGACTTCCTCTTAACACAATTAGCGGTAGTACACTAAGGGAAATTGAGATCAGGTTCGATTCTCATTGAGTAACTCGAGTCAAACTTTTCCAAAACTTAAACTATATTGGTGCTAGCGACGATAGTCGTGGTTAGTCCAATAAGGACTAAATTCCAAAGATTGACTTTGGATTGTTAGTTTACCGGAGAGAAAAGTAAGTTACAAGGGTTGGGCCTTGTAGATTGTAATCGGCATATATATGAAGTAAAATCACCTTTGATGATCAACTAGAATTTAGGCAAAGTGAGGCCTGAGGTCGTTTTACTTAATTGAATTTCTTCTAAAATTTTACTTTTATCAGTTTTCTAGATTTATTTTTTCACAATTACTTTCATTTTCACATTTATTTTTAATTCATTCTTTCGATTGAAATCCCACCATTTTCTTTGTTTTTTCGCCTAAACCAACACTAAAACCTTTCAACATCAGAAGCTCCTTAGTCCCTGCATATCGACTCTTTCTTTTATACTAATTTCTAACTTATTTATCTAAGAAAAAGGCTTATTTATTTGACAATATATAATGCTTGTCAAATTGGAGTCGTTGTCAAAGACTTTGGCAAATTAATGATATTGTTTTGCTTTGATTTATGACCATAAAGTACCCGGGCAAACTAGTAGACTGTGATCCGGAGATCAAAGCAGGAGCACGTAGAATCCATGCATAAACGCTTCGATAAAAGAGACAATAGTGACAGTAACAACAAGAAGCACAATGTCAGGAACAACTGGATATGAATCCCAAAGCACCTTTCAATGCTGATACACATTTTATGCCAAAACAACCAATCTAGATGGATTATCGAATAATCTGGAACTAGTTGTGGCACCTGTCGTTCAACAACCATTATGCATCTCATTTTCTAATGAAGAAATACCATTCAAGCTTAAAATGGGTTTGATCCATCTTCTACCAACTTTACATGGGCTGTCAAGTGAAAATCCTTGTAAACATTTGATCGAATTTCATATGGTTTGTTCGAGCATGAATCCACAGGGAGTATCTGAAGATCATATTAAACTTCGTAACTTCCCTTTATCCTTAGAAGATTTGGTTAAGAATTGACTTTTGTATTTACCTGTAACATCCCAAACTATGGGTTAGTGACTAAATGGTAAAGTTTCAGAAATTTGGTCTTTTTATTAAAGGAATTAAAGGGCAAAATGGTATTTTTATCTAAAAGATAATTATCTTATCTCTTTATTAAGAGATAAGCATGTAGGGAGATATTTCTCCAGAACTTCTTCTCCTTCTTCTTCTTCTCCTCCCGTATCTCCAAGCTCAAAGGTGAGTCTTCTACTTAGTTAATTATTTGTTAAGTTTAAGATTGGGTTTTGATCATTAGATGATAACTAAGCTTAAGGAAAGCTTAAGTTATCTTAAGATCAAAAGATAAAGGAGATAGAGAAGATTAAAGATTAGAGGTTCTTGAATGAAATATTGGAATAAAGTTCATAACAAGAATTGAAAGTTGGATTTGACTTGTTATCAATCTAAGTAAGAGATATGAAGTAATATAATTGGATTAGAAACATGTTGCAAAATTTATGTAATTATTGAATTACATATGGAATATAGGATTTTAAGGTTTAAGATGAAATAAATGAATATAGATTGGTTTAAGTATGTGTACTAGAGTTAAGACTGAAAAAGAGGATAAAACATGAAGGATTTAATTCAAAATGAATGAATTTTTGGGTTCAAAAAGAGGATTCTGGGTAGAGTGCATCAATGCATATTCATTGTGCATCGATGCATCAAGGTTAAAACCCAGAAATTGTTTGAAGGTGTATCGATGCATTGGTAGTGCATCGATGCACTCTTTTAAAATAAATACATCGAATGCAATTCGTGCATCGATGCATAAGTAGTGCATCGATGCATCCCATTAATAATGAAACATCGAATACAATTCGTGCATCGATGCATAAGTAGTGCATCGATGCATCCCATTAATAATGAAACATCGAATGCAATTCGTGCATCGATGCATAAGTAGTGCATCGATGCATCCCAGTAATAATACAACATCGAATACATTTTATGCACCGATGCATCAGTAGTGCATCGATGCATACCT